TATGGATGAACGGAACTGTTTCTTACTAACACCTTAATACAAAGTACAAAAAAGCAAACAGAACTGTTACCCACTTACAAACACATGTGCAAAAATGTCATCCCTACAGGATTTGTTAGATCACACAACGACGAGGATATTGATGATAGATTCCGTGCACAAAAACTGTTTGAAACAGTTGGTTGTATACAGTAAATGGGGATGTGACGGCTCGTCTGGTCAAAGTAAGTATAAACAAAGACTCCAGAGGAGTCTGAACTTGTATCAGACTCATACTTATTCCTTGCATCTGTTGTGCCCATCAGATTAATTGATGGAAAGACTGGTCTGTTGTTTGGCAAAATCCTGCGCCTTCATCCGTGAGATTCTGTCGCTCTGTTTTAATTGAGTTTTCGAAAGAAACTCCTGAGAAAACTAAAGCTGTAGTTAACGATATTCAAAATCAAATTTGAGTCCATCGTTGATTGTTAAGGAAGGGAATGGCGTTCAAGTTCAAACATAAACTTTTTTTGACCATGATAGACGGCAAAGTAGCTCAGGTGTTAACCGACACTCCTTCAAGTTCAACATGTAATATTTGTGGAGCTACTTACTCCTCGTCTAATGAATATTTTACAAAATGTAACTGCTAGGCCCGAAAATGAAAATTCTTTGCGTTATGGATTATCAACACTGCACGCCTGGATTCGCTGTATGGAGATGATTTTGCATATTTCTTACAACCTTTCGTTTCAAAAATGGTCAGCTACGAGTAACGAAAATAAACAAATGAAACAAGAGAAGAAAACAGTGATACAAAGACGCTTTCGAGAAGAGCTTGGATTAATAATTGATAAACCACGGCTAGTGTTCTAGATGAAAGTGCTCTAGATCTGCAACAAATGAAGATGTATTTCACACGTTACTTTGTACTTCTGATCCATTTATAACCAGTAACGGAAAACCTTATGTTAAAAATCGAGAGGAGCTTGACGAGGAGAGGCTACGCCTATTGAAAGTGGACCAAGTCATTACTGCTTCTGAAAAAGATATTATATTACAGTAATAATAGGCCATGATAGAAGAGAGAGGCTAGAGTCTAAAACATATATCCGAAATAATAACAAATATGCTTTCATTTTTTTTTCTTATCTCGTATTTTTATTTTTTATTTTATATAATTTTAAGTAAAATTTATAATTACATTTAATTTATTTTATGAATAAAGAATTACCGTAACATGGCATTTCCATTTTTCCATTTAAAAAAAAATAAATATTATGTTGTATTTACCACAGAGAGATTTATGATTTTGCACATTATTTGTCTCTCAATTACGGGTAGTTAAATAAAAATGTATATGCATTTAAAAGCGTCGTAATTCCCACTATATATAATAAAAAATTGAAAGGTTCCATCCATTTGTCTCAAAAAACAAAAAAGTTACAGATTTTTGGTCCGTAACTGACCTAAATTTCCCATAGGTTTGATTTGGTGAAAGAAAAAAAAACCATTTTTTTTTATTATTGTTTATTTTTCTACGTATAATCAATCTCCTTTTAACTCTATACGCCTTGACCAGCCATATTCCAACTTCTTCAACCCGTCAAAAAACAAAATATGGTCAAACTGACAAACGAGCCTCTGTTTTAGTCTTAGACTAGGTATTCCTATATTTTTTTTCCCATCCTCTAAGCGTCCAGTAACACGAGGAAAAAGTTTTCGCGCGGTCGCCGCGAGGTGACCGCCCAGTTACCACGCCATCATTAATAGCGAATCTGAATCCTATTTACTAGGCAACAACATTTAAATTCATCTGAATCAAATTTTGAAGTTAAAACGTAACAGCTAAGTAAATAGAGCGTACTTTGCCATGACAGTTATCGCACGCAGTCCCTGCGCGGCGGCAACGATGAGCGCGATGATATTCGGGTGGAATAAAGGTCTATTCACACATATCCGGGACGTGCCCGAGAACTTTTTGTATGAACTCGTTCACACATATCCGTGTCCGGGTCGACGCCGGGACGGGTCAGCAGTTCATACAAACTAGCACGCCCCGTCCACGTCCCGGGCACGGTCATGATGTGTGTGGATAGTCCTTAAATGTGCCCTAATGTTTCAGCCTGACTGACTGATGGCTGAAATCTAAGATTTCAAATTTAATGCAAATCGATAAAACAATAGTTTTTTTTTACAGTGAATTTGACAATTGCAGATGACAAACGGAGTTTTCGAAATGCCGTTTTCTCCATTTTCAAAAAATATCGAGCTCACTTGTCTTTTTTATTTCTAGTGTTTTCTATTTACGCGCTAATTTTAATAAAATAACATCAGTTGCACACTAAAGGAGTTTTATATTAAGAAATTAAAACTAAATTCCGAAAAAAGTTTTTAATCACATATAGCTGTACCCCTGACACTTTGCTTTTGCGGATGTCCCAGTGGAATTTATATAGTTGCTACATAGTAGGTAGGTACTATTTACATAATGTCTCCAATCTACACACTTCTAAGTTCTTTGCGATAAATTTCTCTAATTTTCGTCAAAATATACGAGTGAAATATTTTTTTTAAATATAAGTATTACGAAGTGACGGGACATACGAGTCGTGTGCCTGGTGGTAAGCGATACGTCTGTCCATAACAGTTGCAGTGCCACTCAGAGCTCTAAGTCACAAAGATCTGTGGAGCGCTGCCACTGCGCCCGACACCCTGAGAAAAAAGTTAACAAGTCCCATGTGCCTTTAATTTCACCAGCACCTTTGCCCTTCGAAACTGGAACGCAACAATGTTCACATTACTGCGTGGCGGCAGACCTAGGTAAGGTGGCAGTACTTCCCTGGAGGACTCTTTCTCAAGGAGCTCTACTGCTAATAAAATTACTGTTTGCTCCCTTTTTGTCTTAAAATAAAAAGAAACCCGAAAATTTGAAAGTTTTTCCATATTTTTACCTTAGAATAATAACGCATAGAATGATAGTTTCATATCAAACGAACTGTCACAAGTGAGGCAAAAACCAAATTCATGTAGGCGTATGCAACTTGTATTTACGCTCGTCAGCACGCATACAAATATACAAATAATGATGCCATGGAATAACATTTCACTCAAAAGGGGGGAAATTGTATCTTGCTTAACTCATCATTAAGTTAAAGGTGCCTACAGATTTGCCCGACATTGTCGATCAGGTGCCTACAGATATGCTCGGTTTTGTCGATGAAAAACGAATATAGCATTTATTTGTAAATCCAAGATGGCGGACACGATTTTTCAAAATATGCTATATGGGTATCCTTTTCGAGGTATTTGGGGATGCACATTACGAATATGGCACTCATTTCTAAATCCAAGATGGCGGACACGAGTTTTGAAATAAATGCAATATGGGTATCATTTTCGAGGTACTTGGGGGTGCTCATGACGAATATGGCACTCATTTCTACATCCAAGATGGCGGGCACGATTTTTCAAAAAAATGCAATATGGGTATCATTTTCGAGGTACTTGGGGGTGCTCATTACGAATATGGCACTATTTGTAAATCCAAGATGGCGGGCACGATTTTTCAAATAATGGCAAGTTGGGTATCGTTTTCGAGGTATTTGGGGGTGCTCATTACGAATATTGCTTTTATTTGAACTGTCGTGTTTGCCATCTTGGATTTAGAAATGAGTCCTATATTTGTATTGAACATTCCCAAACATCTCGAAAACGATACCCAACTTGCCATTATTCGAAAAATCGCGCCCGCCATCTTGGATTTAGAAATAAGTGCCATTTTCGAAACCTAAAACCGAAAATGCCATAAGCAAACATTAAAGAAAATAACTGTTAAAATAGATTAAAAAATCGCTTAAGAATGCTCCCCTTTTAAGAAAATAAAATATTTTAATATAAAATATTTCGCTTGAGTTACGAAAAGAAAGACATATAATAAGCTATCAAAGTTGTACTGGTGGTGCCAACACTATAGTAGAAACAAATATATACTGTAAATTTATTGCAATATGTGCTCCAATTCAAATAAAATTAATATAAATAATTATTCAATAAAGCATGAACGCAGAGCCGTTAAAAGTATTATAAAATAATTAAGTGTCCCAATCACTTACAGGAGTTAACGAAAACATTTAATGTTTATTCGAGTAAATATTAGTTCAAAATGCGCAAATGAATCGAAATTACAGGCACCACTAAAATTTACGTAATATAATTATTTTGATACAGAATAGCAAAATGGGGAGAAAAAAAATTCGTTACTTTGCAACACTTTCGTATCTTGTTGCCGCGAAATTGTTTTTCTGTTTTAGTGAATATTTACATAAAAATATGAGTTGAAACGCATTACTTACTTGTGGAATGCGATGTTAGTGTCTATTTTGTTTGTCTGTTGTATTTTTACACCCATTTACCGCACATTTCGTCATTTTTAGCAAAAAATTTTGGAGCTGTTCGCGGTGCAATATGACCTTGAGCACTAACAGCCCGCGCGCTCCTGGGACGCGTTTGGAACCCTCTAACTTGCCTCACTTAGCGTGTGCGGGCTAGGTTTCTATGCGTTATTATTCTAAGATTTTTACATTCGAAAATGATATTGATAGTCCAGAAACAAAAATCGTGTTTTATGTTGTTATGAATGATAAAATATGTCTTTTACGAATTTTCCTCTTGTTACAGATGACATGAGAAACCCGAAGAATAATCAGAAACGAATTTACGCAAAGATACGTACCTAAATAAATAAATTAATACATAAATAGAAATTATTTACTAAATAAAGCAAATTACACAAACTGACAATAAGCCAAGCCAAATTGTTTAACATACCATTAATTAATAAAACAATATAATATTATTATTGTAGATTTTTCATATTTGTACAAAATAAAACCACGAAATTTATTTTGCCTAAAAATAATAAAATATTTAGTACCCAAGACATTGCTAGGAATAAACTTCACAAGTTCGAAAATTGACGTTTATTTTTTTAAAACGCGCAATATTTAAAAAAAAACAAAATGAGTATAGATTCATTATCGCCAGCCAAGAGGGTAAATCTAGATAGAGCATCCAACTTCATGAGGCAATTCCGAGATCCTGACTCCAGAGAGCTGAAGAAGCTATCAGCGAATCAGTTCATGGAAGTGTGGAGCCATTACGACAGGGACGGTGAGTTCTTTCTTTCATTTTTTTAATGGTAATTACAGTGATCGAGTGTGAAGGAATATTTATTGTTGCGATAATAAGGTACTAATCAATCAAATTTATTTATTTCATACAAAAAGCATACAAGAAACATAATACAATTTCTCGACAAACTGCGAAAGCAGTTTGTTGGCGTGGTTACTCATAATCACAAATCTATAGTACACCTTAGTATGTGTACATTTATCAAAACCAGTGTGCTTTCAAGAAGTATTAATTTAAATTTAAGAATAATTCTCTGCCTGTCAAAAAATCTAATTTGTTAAATAGCATTGGCAAGAAATTCTATTTGTTCTTTTACCATGATATTTGTTTTTACGGTCTCGCCTAGTATTATACTTGTTCGTTACGTTAATTTTAAATTTAAGTTTTGTAATAGTTTTCAATAGCGGCTAAATATTGCTTTTTTTTTTTACAAGAAATATTTTACAATAGGTAAATAGTTTATCACAGTCTCACCTACAACTATACTTGGTTTTACGACTTACTAAATATTCCAAAAACCGACTTCAAACAAAGGAGGAGGTTCTCAATTCGTCTGTATGTTTTTTTTTTGTGTATGTTACGCGATAACTTGTGAACCGATTTTGACGATTCTTTTTTTTTGTTGGAAAGAATAATAGTCCCATTTAAATTTGAAGAAAATATTCCACTTCTAAGAGTGCCAAATTAAGGCATGAATCACTTTTGAGTCAGTTTTTTTAGTATTCTGTATTGAGATTATTTGTATGTATATTTACGTCGCTGAGGTATGATGACTCAAAGGTTCGACCAAAACAACTCAGCCCGTAACTCAGCATAGAATCAACTAAAAGTGTCTCCATGAATAGAATAGAGTCATTTATTTCATATTATCAATAAATAAATAAATAACAAATTCAACTGCCTCCGTGGCCGAACGGTTACCATACCGGACTGCTACGCAGAGGTCCTCGGGTTCGATTCCCGGGCCGGGAGAAATATTTGTATGGCCTACATTTATTTCTCTCGTGAGTTTGGGTATAACTTGTGGTTGTCTATTCGTGTGTCCATGGCACCCGCGACACAGGGTTTCCCTAGTGCGGGGCTATGTTGAGTGTGTGCGTTATTATTATTATTATTATTATTATTATATAATGTCAAGGGATAATAATATGGTCATCACTAACACAAACAATAATAATGAGTATAAAATAAAGTAGTAGTACCTGCTTGTCTAAATGCAAAGAAGTGAAGTAAAACAAAATTACATTGTTTCAAAAGATACTCATGGACACTGTAGAATTCATTATCCAATAAAAGGAGTTCTAGTCGGGTATTCAGTTTTCAGGTTTGTGGGTACATGTTCGTAGAATCGTGGACCTATTATTACCCGCGGATTTCTCGTGTATCTCGTTATTAATAAACATTGTTCGTCATTAAGCTAAAGTTCAAAATCATTAATAAATATTACTTAAACGCATTTCAACGAATGCATCATTTTAGAGTTGTCGAAGTATCTCGTTATTTACAAACATCACTCAGCATTTTAAACTACAGTCCAAGATAGTTACTAATACATATTACTTGTGTCCGTTTCAACGATTTCTCATTAATTATGCATCATTTTAGAGTTGTCAAAGTATCTCGTTATTAATACTCGTAAATCTCACTCAGCACTGAAGTTACAGTAAAATATTGTTATTAATAAATATTACTTGAGTGCACATCAACGATTTCTCATTCATAATAATTACGCATAATTTTAAAGTTGTCAGAGTACCTCGTTATTAATAAACATTATTTAGCACTTAAACCACAGCGTAAGTTCGTAATTAAGTTTTAGTCAATCAAATACCAAGTTCTAGGTCACTTGAAATAGCCTCATCCAAACATGAAATTAGTATTTCGTGATCAGAATGCCGCAACCAATATCCACTCAATACCGGACTTGTTTATTATTAGGGATTTTAGAGTTTGTCTGATGCATTATACTATATTACCGTATCAAACTGATGTGAGACTGAGATAGAGTCAACGTGAAATTAAGTATAAGGTGACTATATTTATAGAGCTTATGTTTTATGATACAAGTAACGGGACGAACAAGTCGTGCGCCTGATGGTAAGCGAGACGCCTGTCTATAGCAGTTGCAGTGCCATTAAGAGCTTTAAATCGCAATTATTTGAGGGTCACTGCCACTGCGCCCGTCACCCTGAGACATAAGTTGACAAGTCCCATGTGCCTGTAATTTCATCAGCACCCTTGCCCTTCAAAACCAAAACACAGTAATGCTCACATTACTGCTTGGTGGCAGAAATAGTTAATTTCATATATTTCGTCATTAATATTCTGGAAATCGGACAATAAACACGTCTCTGTACTACAAACGTATTTCAGGTCCAACCTTATAATATGAGAAATACTTTTATTCTCAAATCACTCGCTGTACGCTATACGTCACACGTAACATTTTGTGACTTGATATATAAACACAAATAATCCTCATTCATTGAGAGCATGTCATACCATCATTTCCATAACTCGTCACTCGGCGTGTGCGTGATATTTGGCGACATATACGTCAGCGCACCCACGCGAACAGAGCCATATCCAGAAAATATTTTTACAATCCTTTCAACGTATAACAAATAGTAATGGAGCTTATTTCATCTGCATTACTTTTCGGCATTTTGAAAAACAATATCTTATTTCGTGTTGTAAATATGCAATTCATTTTAACGCCATCTATGTTTTTTAAAATGTATTAACATGAAACCAACGGATTACACATGAATGAATTTAAGAAAGTCCCTACACTTATCGCCGCGGGATTACGTGTGTATGGATTGAGTGAGCACTCTCTGTAAAATGTTTAAAATGTATTAGTCATTTAGTAAAAGTTCTAAAACAATTGTAGAAACCAATCTTTCTATATCGACACGAACGATATCTGAAACGGCAGATATTTAGTAGTAAATTACTACTAAAACCTTACCAATTATAATCTCTGTAATACGTACAAATCCAAAGTTATGGACGTTTGTTACTTTTCAGAAATTGGAGGGTTGAGTGAACACTTAAAAATAATTATTATTCAAAAACGTTTCACGTTAGTGGTTTGTTTTATATTTCACAAATTCATATGTAACTTTTACTAAATCTAGACATAAACGAAATTTAATTCACTTATTTGGTTCTTAAGAAATCGTTCCTTTTAAAAACGTGTGGATTGAGTGAGCATAAGAAAGTATTTGTAAAATACTTAAAAAGACACTAATCGACCTGTAATTAAAAATGATAGTTTAACTAAACTTTTACTAAAAACTAGTACAATAATATTATATGTAAACTTAATACTTTTGTAGATCTGACTGGCCCACTGTGAGAACTGAGTGAGCACACATTAAATTATTTTTCTCTTGTTCTATCTTTTTTCAAATAGAAAGATTGGTTTCTACAATTGTTGTAGAACTTTTACTAAAGGACTAAGACATTTTAAAGAGGGTGCTCACTCAAACGATACACACGTGCGGGATTGACTTTAGTTGGTCAGAAAAAGTTTTATATGAATGCAAAAAGAGTGTAAAAAGGCGACAGTCATGAACAACGTCTTGTTTTGCTTTCATCGCTAGACATAAACCTTTTTCTAACCTACTTGAGACGATTTAATTAAAAAATTAACTTCACTTTCACAATTTCATTATTGTAATAAATTTGAAATATTCGTTAAGGTACGCAATTTACATTGTATAATTTCATTATTTTAGTTAATTCAAAATAAGTAATAGCAAAATCGAAATAAATAGTTGATTGTTCTGAATATGAGAATGATTTGTATAAATACACATTTTGTACGAGAAAAATACAAAATAATAAAAACAATGTGTTTACGAGTAGGGGTTATAATTGTAAGTCAATGGTAGGGGTACACAACTTACATTCAAATGTATAGAAAGGTTCGTGAATAATACAATACTATAAAATTTTTAATTCATTTTCGTTCTTATTATATACTAAAGAAAGAAATGTCCTGAATTATCTGTACAGGCCAATCCAATTTTCATAATAAATTGGTAGTCAACGATTACAGTACTTTGTACAAATTCTTTCACAAGGACTCCTCGCTAAGAAGCTTTTCGCTCACCTCACCAAAGCCTCGACGAAAGGAATAAGCTATCCAGGCCGTTGATGAAATTTTCCACCTTTAACAAAGTAAACATTTTCTTCTGTATTGAGCGTGTTTTGTGTTCTACATCTTTTGTTTTGCTCTTGTTTATTTAAATCTACTTCAAAAGAACAGTGACAGAAACTGCAAGTACTTTTGTAAATACAAAATAGTAAATAAATGCTTTTGCGAGGGAAATTTATTCATTTTCCCTGAACGCAACCACAAATAAAAAAATCACCTACAAAAACAAAAACGTCCCTCCACAGTTCGAAAAAATGAGTAGGTATGAAATCATCAATCAATTGCTAGCAGTAGAGCCATGTGAAAGAGTTCGTCTATGAAAATACTGCCTTACCTATTTCTGGCGCCAAGGAATAATGGGAGCATTACTGTATTTCGGTTTTGAAAGGTAAAGGTGCTGGGGAAATTACAGGCACATGGAACTTGTATCCCAGGGTGACGGGCGCAGTGGCAGTGATCCTGAGATCTTTGTGATTTAAAGCTCTGAGTGGCACTCGTTCGTCCCGTCCCTTAATATAAAAAAAGTCAATCGCAATTAACACTAGGCGGAGTATCGATTGCCTACTGAAGCACAAAGCACAACAATTTTTATATCGAGTTCTTAGGTTTTCGCAATTGTTACATATAGAAAATAAAACTATTTATTCGGATTTAAATCGCGTATATTTGTTTTGTCAACCGGGACCATGGGACCTGTAAAGGGTCCGAAACTTTGGTTTGTTTGAAAAAAACAAATGTACGCTACTGGTGTGGACACTGTTGTGGACAGTCTTTTTTATTTTTTCACAATTCACCAAATTTGCGCGCACAAAAT